CTCTCAAAGCATCTTTTCTAAGCCCCACTCTCTTCAACTGAGAAGTTCTACTTGGTCCCGAGTAAATGTGGTCATTAAGAGAGAAATGCTACCTTCTCAAGGATACCTATTTTTTCTCTGCCCTCTGAGAACCAACAGAATACTCTAAACTTGCTGTTCACATTCTCTGAAGATCTATTGTTCTCTGAAGTTTTGCAAGGTAGCAAGGACAAGTTAAATTCCTTAGTGTTCGCTTCAACAGGAGGAAGGGAGGGACCTGGTGGAATCTGTCAGGTCCAAAGGAAACTCTGTTTTCCCAAGGTCTGGCAGTTAGACAAAAGCCAACATTCCTTAGAACTTGTGAGGCTGGTTCCCCTCTACCAAAAGGAGTCATTTCTCTTATCACTGGCAGAAGGGACAAACGGCCATCTATGGTGCCTATTAGCATACCAAAGCCCACGCTGACTCCTCGGCATCACAAAAGTACCTGTTATACATTTCAGAGTCCATGCTAGCACATCCTGACTCTTCCTGCCTCCTCCCCAGATCAAACTAAACTTCTCCAGATCATGGGCTTCCTTCTCCCTGGCTCCTCATTCCCCTTATAACCCTGCTATTGCAGCTGTGCCTTCTCTTAGTTATCTCTTTGTCTTCATCTCTTGTTCTCCCCCTGACCCCTGTCTGCCTCTCTCTGTCTCGCTGCTCTGCTCCTGCTTCTCTCCTGGCCAGGATTGGTCTCCTGGCCACGTCCAGTCTACTGCTTTCTCTCTGTGCTCTGCATTCTTTCAGAAGCCTCTAGCTCATATCCTCCTCATCTCTACAGTGAAAATCTTCCCCTTAACCACACCTTTGAGGGGTCATGTCCTCCATTCATACAGAACCCAGGGTGGGAGAAGTTTCTGGCCCTGCAGCAGGCAACCAGCTTAAGGGCTGGAGCTGCCATAGGAAGCTGTCAGGAGGGCTTTGGCTGGGGAAGCATCCTACTAACCCTGGCAACACAGAGTAAGGGCTACTCACAGGGCTACGTCACAGCAGTTCCAGCGGACAGCTGCAGTCTGGAGGGGAAGTCTTGATTTCCCGGAGTTCAGGCTGGGATTTGGGCAGTGCCACAGAGTCCCTGCTGGGTCTGGCCAGCATTTGGGAGGAGGAGACTGAAACTGGAAGACAAAAACCTTATTCCGACTTTTCTGGTATATCTACTATTACTTTTAAAGATTTATTTTTGTTATTTTTAAAGTGTGTGTGTGTGTGTGTGTGTGTGTGTGTGTGTGTGTGTGTGTGTAAGTGCAGGTACTCATGGAGGCCAGAAGCTGGAGATCCTCCTCGAAGCTAGAGTTGCATGCAGTTGTGAGCCATCCAGTCTGGATGTTGGGAACCCAACTGAATGGTCTGTGCTTTTAACCACCAGCCATCTTTCCAGCCCACCCACACTATTCTTAACTAGAGAACTTTCTAGATTATATTTACTAGGTGCCACAGGAATAAGATAAAAAATAGTGCCGCCCTGCTGTGTGGACACTAGTGGATATACCCCAACAAGGGGTAGCTTACTTGCAAGGAGTCCCCAGTGCTGAAGACTGCCCTCAACTAAGAGCTTGTTTGCTCAGTCCCACCCCTCCAGCCTGGTCTACGCAGGGAGTCGGTCTCTTCAGGCAGAGGGCTGTAACAGCGACACCATGCTCTTAGTCCATCTGTCTTTTAACTTTATAGGTAGGTAAACTGAGGACCCAGGGCCACATGGTCTTTTTTTGTTATTCATTCATTGACTACATGTACACAGAATTTTGATTCCCCATCACTGGGGGAGGGGAGATGTATTTTCTTCCTGCCCTTTAATCAATTACAGGTCTCTCTGTGTTTGAAAACTGTCCAGAGCTTTGATGCCACCCAACTCCGTTGCCTACTTTGTACCTGGACATGAATGTGAAGTTCATGGGTTTACTGCTTCCCACTGTGTTTGAAAATCAGTCACCACAGAGTTCTGGCCTTGGCCACCCACAGTGTGTTTGGCTCTCCAGGAACAGCCCCCTCTCCATCCTCTGTAGACACCAGGTCGCCAGGTCTGAGGCCCTGACAGGAACTTCCTGGTGCCTGACGGGATGGAAGCCCAGTGGTGGTGTCAGCTGGGGACACAGCCAGGCACTTGTTTGCTAGGACCCGCTTTGGAAATGGCCT